CTCTCCTCTAGCCTGGTTGTTCTTATCGTGTTCGTGTCAAGATCGGTGACAGCAACCCACACGTCGAGCGTGCCTCGCCTACCTTTATAGATGTGCAGGTTAGTAAGAAGCATAACAAATCATTCAGGTATGAAAGCCGATTCCTGTAAAACTATCTATGAGATTGCAACGACAGATTGTTTAATATTCTGGAAATTCTGGCCAGGAAGTATGGGATGAACTTACACTCCATCATCACAACTGATATTTTTCTACTTCCACAGGTTAAGGATGGCGATTTAACGAATGTTAACATCATAACATTCCGTAAACTGAACCAGTTCGATATAACCGGTAACGTGGTCACAGATCAAGAACATTTACACTCACTTAAGGTTAGTAAACTCATCATGGGGCACCTGCATGTATGTTATCTGTCATAAATAATATAGACACGTTATATAGTACAGTAGACCCCTTGCAGCACGTCAGAATGTAGCCCAATTTGGAGGACATAGCAATATGTTTTGAATTCTTAGGAGATTGAAATTCTTTTATTTTGTCCTCCAAATATACCTGCTATACCCTGGGTTCCAGTCGACACCAGTAACCGAGAAGCACTAGGGCGAGCCTCTGGCACACGGGGTAAAAACATAACACTTTAGCCTTCAATTCAATCCAAAGTACTTAACGTGTTTTTATGATCCTTTTGATGGTATATATTTTCAGGTTTTGTTGTTCAAAGAGAGTAACCTAGACGCACCCATCTTTACCACCACTGTTGGGATCGCAAGCTATTTCCAGTTTCCCCACGTCCCCAACGACGGCCAGGTAAGTTAACATTGAAAATGAAACTTATATTTCGTTTTGTTTTGTAATTGAAGTAAAAGAAGTATTTTCCTCTGTAGGCTTACATCGTTCGCCTGGATACCACTTTGTCACGTAAGAACTACCTGTACGAACTCCCAGAGGTCAGCGTGACAGCGAAGGGGATCCGACATCACGTAACACTCAAGTTCAACCCCCAAGTAAGTCACGCCAAGATTTTTTACTTCAAATGTACGCATTACTAAGTAAACCTATATTGCTTATGAATTAATATTTTTGTTCTGTTTCTTAGAGTCGAAAATATGAACCTGAACCTACCCAGGGTTCATTGTTGGCGCTTCCTCTGTTAGTAATGCTCGTGCTACTAGCATTAAATCATAATAAGGTAACYAAGGCAACGTCAAGTATCTGATAAATTCGTGTATAGAGCAATTTCACATGACGTCACAGCGGCCATGTTGGTGTTCCAAAACAATGCTTTTTCTATCGATCCTCGGGGAATTAAACTCTATTTTTATGCAAAAAGTGTTCAGAAAGACTATTGTTTGGTACCCCAATATGGCCACTTTGTCACGTGAGTGAAAACGCTCTATAATGTAATGATATTATTCATTGCTTAGATTGCGCAAAATATTTTACATTCGTTCAACTGCGCAAATATAATGAATTAATGGTGCGCATATGAACAATGATTTCGAGCATTGTGATTGGTTCGAAGGTTGCCGTCATTTCCTACCGTGACCGTAGCGTTTCACAGACATGTCAGTCCCACTAAATCTTTAAAGATATGTATTTAAAGAGGCTTTATTCTCTCTTCTTCAGGTCATTCCCATGATGCAACAAGGTGCCCAAATGCTTCAGGGTGTGCCAGTGTCCACTGATGCAACTCAAGTCCCGTATGAAGACCTCCATTTACAAGGCAAAAGTAAAAAGAAAGTCGTACAAAAACGACGATAACGACTTCTCATTCATTAGGAATCAATAATTAGGAATCCCTTCACTCGAAAGCTGAGAAATTTGTTTTCAATTGGATTGATTTCTCGGAATTTCGTCTAGGAAGTTCTCGCCTCGCAATATCYGCTCTAGGGAACTAAAGGTTTCCAGAAGAGACGGTACGATTATAGACTTTGTTAATTTGCTAAATTCTAAATTCGATCTCGTGTGAGCTAACCCAGCCTTGGGTTTGATCAGTCCAGAGGTTGTTTCAGGACATCGATAAAATTTGAAGGTGTTTTTGTGTATTATTTCTCACATGCATAACTGTCACGACTTCACATAAGATAAACAGTAACATCATAAAATAGTAAAAAAGTTAAATAAATGGTTATCGTCATCATCATCATCAGCAACATCAGCAGCAACAAATCCTTTTCAGAAGAAGGGGATGAGAGAGCTCCAGGAAGCATAGTTAGGAATTTTTGGCACTTTCATTGTTTTTTACTGTGTAATACATCATTCTTTTACCCTTGTCTTAATGTCCAGTATAAAGTGACTTGTTTAAAATTAAAGGTGAATAAACCAAACTTATTCGTTGTAACTTGGTCATTGTTTTTCGTAGTACAGTAATTGTAAAACAGTTTGTTTTTCGTCAAAGTAAATGTTTATCATTTTTTGAGTGGATACTAGGAAAATAGACGCTTGTTATTTTTCAGAGTGCGTCTACTAGTAGGGTCGGGTGCGGTCGGGCTCTTGAAACGTCATTTGACCATTAAAAAATTATTTAAAATTAGTGAAAAGCAATCGCAAATACCTCCAAGTAGTAAATAAACAAAAGAATACTTGTCTTTGTCGAGAAGGTTTGCAAAAGGTAAAGTGAAATGCAGGGAAAATATGAACCGCCCATTATAAATCCCATCATGCTTTGCGCGCTTAGTAGAATAGAAAATGGCGGATGACTAGAGTCGTCTGGATCGCGCTGCAAAACATGGCCTTGAAACTAAGACCCTGGTGTGGAGATACTGTGTAAGCAATGGTAAAATGGAAATATAAGAGTATTGGGACTGCACCAAAATAGGTAATTTATGGCTGTGTTTGAAAGTTAGTAAAATTTCGAGTGTGGAAAGTGAGGAATTGAGGGTCACGCTATAGGAAAGCTTACGAGAAATACGTTTTGTCCCTTTATGAATTTCGAGATCAAGATCTTGAAATATTTCTATTGGTTTTTTATTTTTATATTTTTTTCATATCGTGGCAGAGGTATAAAAAGTAGTGGTATAGAATAGGAATTGAATCTTGAGATTTGGGCCACAGTAAAAGTACATAACACAGGTAGCCCAACTTGAGAAAAAACTAATACAAGTTCTTTAAGAGGGTATTTGCACGAATAACTCTGAGTTTTTGTTTGTTTTTGGTTTAGAAATATTTTAGATATTCACCATGGAAGATGAGGAGAATGTCGCTAGGTCAGTTTACGATCAAATTTGTAACAGCCTCATAGAAAAGAAACRACTTCAAGAAACTTCTGTTGCCTTTGGCAAGCTGAAGAGTGATGCTGAAAGAGTAAAGTTYGTCCTGAACTTGACTTCAGTTGACCAGATTATTAGGATAYGGCCATYGTCTCMACAAAAGTCAACAGAAWGGTCTATTAATGCACGTGTTGAAGGCAACAAGTTATTTCAAAAGAAATTGCTTGKTAAAGCCTTGAAGGAGTACACTCAGACCATCTTCTTGGCTCCAGAATCTGATAAAAAGGCAACCGCGCTTGGCTATGCCAATAGGTCTGCTGTTTTGTTTCATCTTCATGAATATGACCTGTGTTTGAGGGACATCAAAGCTGCTCTTGATAATGGCTACCCAGATGACAGTCTGTACAAACTGGTAGATCGCAAAGGMAGATGTCTGGCATTRCTCAACAGGAARGATGAGGCACACTCTGCTTTTAAAGAAGCGTTGSAGTGTCTAGCCATTTCAAGCCTTAAGAGTAAAGATAAACATCTGTGGAAGAAACAACTTGAAAAGCAAATAAATCAGTGCTTAGATACAAATGAAGTTCAATCTCCTGTTAATCCTGTAGAATCTGTCAGAGCAGGTTGTCCTACAYCTGTTGAACTGAGTTATGGAGTCAACAACAAGTACACAGCTGCATCTAAGGCAYTTGACTTGGCTGTGTCACCTTTAAAAGGGAGGTACCCAATCGCTTCTCAGGATATTCAAATTGGCGACATAATACTTGCYGAAAAACCATATGCATCTGTATTGCTTTCAACCCACACTGACATTCACTGTCACCATTGTTTTGTGCGACTGMTAGCACCTATACCATGCKTGCAGTGTGTAGCTGTCAGATACTGTAGCTTTAMGTGTGCTGRTGAAAGCTGGAAGGCGTACCACTCTGTTGAGTGCAAGTACCTGAAGCATATCTACTCCACAGGGAAGTATGGTCACCTTGCTTTAAGAGCAGTCATCAAAACTGGCCTGCAGCAGCTTAGAGATGTCATATCTAAGGCACAATCTTCTGTTAATGATCCTAGGATGCTTGGATGCAATGATATTGGAGTCTATGATCCATCTGATTATACTCCAATATATCATTTAGTTGGGCACACTGAAGATAGAGCTATTAACGATCTTTTCAAGCGCACAGTAACTGCCGTCTATTTGCTAAAATGCATTCAGGAAACAAGGTTTTTTGATTCTTCTCAAGGAGAACAGGGCAGTGACAAGGGTACAGAGGAAAGCCTCATTCTCGTAGGCAGCATGATACTCAGACATTTACAAAGTTTTCCTTGCAATGCCCATGAGATATCAGAATTACAGCTATCTCGTAAATCAGTAGCCACATCGGAAACCACAGAAATAGGAGCAGGTATCTATTGTACATTGAGTTTGTTTAATCACTCCTGTGACCCTAACGTTACAAGATTTTTCTATGGAGATAAATGTGTGTTACGAGCTATGAAGACCATTCCAGGTGGTCAAGAGATTGCAGATAATTATGGAGTTCTCTGTGCTTTGACTCCTAGAGATGAGCGCCGCAAAGCCCTTGCAAACCAGTACTATTTCCATTGTGAATGCAAAGCATGCACAGAAGATGCACCTCTGTACTCTGAAATTATGAAAATARAAAAACCAATTTTTAAATGTGAAGGCTGTGGTTTTCCTCTGACTGGCTCTAAAGACACTGTCTTTACTTGTAAGAGTTGTAATTCCAAGCAAAACATTGAGTCAAAAGCAAAGCTTTTGAAGGATTCTGAGGATGGTTTTGCTGAAGCTGCAAACAAGTTACTGGATAAGGCAGATGTATCCAGTGCCCTACCTCAGTTTCAGCACCACCTTCATTATCTAGAAGAAAATGTTAGCCAACCTTGGCATGGCTTCAATAATTGTCATGAACTCATGAAGCAGTGTTATAATATCCTGGCAAATTGTAATTTAGTTGATTAGAACAGATTACAGCACAACATTCAAAAGTATGAAAACATTGTATACACATACTTCTATGCACAGGCTTTCGTAGGTTAAAACAACACTTTTGGGTGGGAAGCTGGCTGGTTTTACTAAATTAGTTGTGTAAAAGCTTGTTTGGTAGCCAAAAGCCAGTGCATAGAAGTATTGGAATACATTAAATGTGGTCATGCTCTGTGCGTTGTGCAGTAAGTACATACACAAATGGAATARGTTTAACAGTTCATCTCCAATTCCCCTCATGAACTCGATTAGTAAGGAATTAAGTTTTTCACAGGAAGGGAGAGTTACAGCAGATTATATTTTATGTTTGGAGATGAGTTTAATGAAAAACTAAATGAATGGTAAAAGAAAAAGTTACTTTAGTTGAACGRTCTTTCAGTTGTAGTTTAACTGGAAGCCAATGGGGTGCACTTCACCCCCTTTCCCCAGAAGTGCTTCATTTAAAGGTACACTTAAAGCAAAAGCTATATGGAATAGAGAGATATCCAAGTACATATGAGATCATAGAGGCTAAACTATACTTGCTTTGAGAATTGGAGTACTGGGGTATGGATAATCTTTAGAAGTTTTTTAGATTTATTTTTAGGAATTTAGACAAAAACTGACACTTTTTAGAGAAAAGTGAAAACTTTATTTTCAAGTATGAACAWTGCAGAAAATGTAACATTTAAAAACTTTCAATCAGGTAATTTTTGGGACTTTCTGTGAATGTGTAATGGTTATAAAGATCTGGTTTAGTGCTAAACAGGCCCTGACAATCTGATAGTTACAAATAMGAGCATATAAATATAGCTTTAGTAAAAATAGAGCCAGATTCAATATTTAAACTGACTTATTCAAGCTCAGTGCTAGTCATGAAATWACTACACCTCAGTAGACTGYRAGSRGTCCCACTTTTCCCTCCAAATCCTCTRCGTCCACAGGAATCACAAAACACTYGCYCTCACTGAGTKTGGAGGGGAAATTGGGRYCACTTACATTCTAACACATCAGCTCAAAATAGATTAACTTGGCTCGGGTGAAYAGAAACATGAGAATATAAATACACACTTAAAAGGACTGTGTGAATATTGTCAAATTTTCATCATATTWAATTTTGAAACRACCKATWTAACTTGCATYTAATGTTTCCCATTTCATGTTAGACCAGTTAAATTCTCTTGAGTATTATTTCTTTGYTTTCCAGTAGAGTGCAAAYAATATAACCRYRAAACYTTAGWAATACTAAATAGCACAATTTCATGCAAATTCCATTGTTTTCTATTGTTTAACTAGCACTATTTTGTACTATTTARTAATTAGTGTTTCATGGATTAATTGTTTGCACTCTAACACTTGAGAACATACATAAATATTAGTGGTCTAAAATGGGAAAATATTAAATCTATTAAATTTTTCATAGATAATAAAATTCTTTCAAAAAAACAACAACAACAACAACAAAAAAACTGGGCATAATATTAACAATGCTTGAACAAATGAACCCAGTATTTGAATTAATTTTCTCGATTTGAAACTATGAATAAATCTCGAATTCTTATTCGTAGAATTTATTGTTTTTGTGAAGCAAGTCTCAAAGCTGCTTCTTGTAAGGCTAATAAAGTCTGTGGTACATCTAAAGAGGGTGATGGTGGGCGTTGATATGGATGATGTCGTACCGTAGAAATTTTGTTTCTTAATGGACCAGATGTATTTTCTCCACTAGTATTAATCCCTGGGCTCTGCACATTTACAGAATTTTCTTCCTCTAGTTCATTTTCACGTGGTACAACTATGTACTGGAATCCATTTTGTGYGATGCTCTTTTGCATTGTTCGACTCCTTTCTTCCATACCATTGTCACTGCTACATGTACTGTCCCCGTCAAGATTTTCCCCATTATTTACAAAGACATACTGGTTGTTTGTGGTGTGAAAGACCCCATTACTTGTGCCAAGTGATGCAACACTAGGAGAATCTAAAGTCTCGAACTGGAGGTAACTAAATTCGGTGGGAGAGGATGTCACCTGACTTGAATTTTCGTCGTTCATATTTGTGCCATCATCATTGAACTGCTGAGACAGTTGGAGGCTCTCAAATCTGACTGTCTGTAACCTCCAGATTCCATCTTCATGCTCCTTGTATCTGAATTGAAAAACAAGCKTGAAGTATAAGCCTTCAAATGTTATTGATACCCAGAAATAGCCACTGGGCTCATCAAATTTAAAGTCAGGGAACAGCTAGAACACAGATTGAATTGGAATTTACACCATACTGTAGCTTGTTAGGCTTTGCGAAAGAAAGAAATCAGAGAGCCCTGAGAAAGACCCWCAAATCAAGGGAGAGATCTAGACTGTTACAAACTCTACTTACATTTCATATAAATATGAGAGCTTTTTTGATAATAATTCTATATTACCTGAACCTTGGATGTCCTGAAGGCCATCTAAACTTGTGCTTTGATTTGAGGTGTTGGGTCAGTCCTGTTCCTCTGGTATACCTTGCTCTACATATATGACATTCATACTTGGCTAATTCCTCTCCCTGTAACAGTCAATAACCAGTTTATACATGGTGATCATTATTAGTTTATGACCAGTCGACACATTTTGATGCCAACTAACAGCCAGCCAACAGCCAATCTTTAATAGACACATGTTGGTTGGTCATACTATACATATTTACACATTACAATTTGACCACCTTCCATACATYGGYTCACTGGTCTTGGGAGATGGTGGGTGGGGTGTTTGGGTGTATTACATTTATACAAAATCATTGGAACAAGTGTCTAATAGACCTYGRCTCAGCGTAATGTTGTCCCATTTCAGACCACGTGTCATTCCCTTGGGAATAAGATTCTTTGTTTGAGTTRTATCCATATTCATGTGACTTCTCATGTACAACCGAGCGCAAACCTTAAACAAAGAAATGATACTCTAGGGAATGACACGTGGTTTGAAATGGGAAAACATTACGTCAGAGCCGAGGAGGTCTATTGGTTTGAAATAAGAGGTATATTGGTTTTTCTCATGGAACATAGTGGGGAATGTTTGTGAAGCAAGTCTTAACCCAGAAATCAACAATGCAAAGTGGCAAAACCTGCATTGTTAAAATGGTTKACACATTAACCTCAGGATGAGAACGTCTATTACTTTCTGTCTGCCTATAGAAGGTTAACAACATGTAAGTATAGTGGCATTAATGTTTTTATTAACAAACCATGGCCATGAGTTACAGTTTAAGCATTTATGGTAAGCTGTTCTATTGTTACCTCATGTTCAACCTTGAAGTGTCTCTTCAGRGTTTGAACAGACCGAGCTGAAAAATCACATCCCTCTACAGAACATTGAAAACTTAAGACAGAATTGTGACATTCTCGATGACGACGCAGATCAGAAACAGTCTTCCACCTGTTAATCAGTAAAAAAATAGAAGTAGATATRAAATGTTGAGACTATTGCATGCTAGTTTAGGGTCTTTTAAATTATGATAATCATTCTATATTCAGGAACGCCACGTCACATAAGTGTTTTACAGTAGGGTCTTTTAAACTGGGTAAATACTTCAAACTGGTTAWTTTGATCCAGCCAGTTATCCCAAACGTTCAGTGAACCAGGAAAAATATTTAAAATAATAGGATTTTGAGATACTGTAAAATCCTGGTCACTAGTAAGCCCCCCCCCCATTATTAGTGCGTTGAAGAAGTATGATCTCTGGACTTACAGGTCTGCAGAACTCAGCTTCAAGTTTGAAATAACATGAAGTTTGAGATTACTAGACTCAAATGTACAGTACTTYCTGTGAAAAAAGCCTTCACCCAAAGTCCCATATGTTTCCAATGTCTYCCTTCTACTTTATCTGTGGTACAGTGTATGTTACAACTTAAAATTAAACTTACCTGGATGAACATAGATCACACTCATATGGCCTCTCGTCAGAATGACGAAACTTAATGTGCTGTTTCAGAGCTGATTGRTTGGGGCATGTCATATCACAGAATGTACACTTGATGTTGTTCACTGCCGCAAACAAAAGGGTTATTGTAAAACTGATCATGTTTATTCTYCCATATTTTATAAACATATTGCACTTAAAAAATTAATATGGAAATGGTAAAGCGATTTTGTCTTGGGTGTAATGTTGTTGTTTTTTCAAGTAAAATGTTTCAGGCCATGCTTTAAAAAGGTTTACGCACTCGCATCATGTTGTAAATGCTACAAGTATACAAGAAACAATTATTTGTATTCAAGTATGATGTCCTTACCATGGTGCCTCATATGGTCACGTAAGATCCTTTGGGAGCCACAGTATTTAAGACAATGAGAACACTGGTACTTCTCATCTGTTCAGAGATCAAATACGATTAACAAATTTGTTGAAATGATGACTGCTCATGTTAATCAGTTCTACATAGCCAGTTCCCGGGGGGGGGGGGGGGGTACTCCCCTATATTCGCTATACGGGTACATGCCGCCAAACAGGGTATGGTTTACATGATTCTACTCTGGAACAGAGTATATAAAATCATGTTCTCTCCTCTCTAGAACAGGGTTTTCAGCAACCTTGCTCTGGAACAGGGTATGAATTTCAGCGATTTTTACTCTGGAACAGGGTCAGGGTTCAGAGGGCTCAGCGGCACATCCCTACCCTAAACGGGCAAGAGTACCCCCCCCGGGGGGGCCAGTCTTCACGTCTTGCCATTATTTTTAGCTCTAAAAGTAATCTAATATACCTATCACCTACATTCAGATGTATTCTGTCTTGTCAAGTGGTCAGTAAACTTTGACATGCTTGCAAACATCCCTCCACAHGTTGAACAAGCATACACTTTCTCATGAGTATGACTACGGCAGTGTTCCTTTAGTTTGTAATGGTTCTTWGCAGTAGATTTACATCCTTTAACAAAAAAGATATCAAATTAGAGCTATCACCTAAAATACTGCAAGGACAGAACGTAGCTTTTGACTGTTTGCAATTTCATTGTATATGATGCCATAATGAGGATTCAACGGCAGGGCCTAAAATAACAGTATGTCAGTCACCAGTCATGACGACTGGCCAAATTAGGCAAAGATTTGATTAGACAAGTTCCAATTCTGGCTGGACATTGTCTGATGACTCACTGTGATTTTAAGCCCTGGGAACAGGGATTTAGATAGGGAAATGATTCTCATAGTTTAGGAAAGGGAAAAAGATGGCACGAGTAAACAGCTGATTATTTCATTTATTGTCACTTGCCATATTTTCATTTTCCATTTCATTTCCAATGTAAAAAGAAAAAAAATGAACTATGAATGTAATCAGTCGTTGATAAGATAAATAATTACCTTTCCATTCACAAGCAAAAAAGACTTGATTATCGCCTTTTTCGTCATCAATTCTTTGTGCATCMAGCGCCATGACATGACTTTCAACGTGTAGATAAAACCAATAAGGACAATTAATCTCTAAATCGCAGTCTTTCCATTCACAAACAAATGGATTTTGAAGATCAGGAACTAAGTTTTTTCCTTGAGGATCCAGAGTACAATCACTTAACTTCGCAGTTACTTTTCTTTTCGCTCCAACAGCTTTGATGTTGGTGTGGAAAGGATGGAATAAAACATGGCGGATGAGTTCGTTGGTACTTTGGGGAGCATCCCAGCCACAATCTCTCCAAGGACATACAAAATCTTCAGGAATGCTGTCTAGAGAATGCCTGTTTTTATATCCTGGTAAAATTTCTTGAAGATGTTGTTCTACATGAGACAAAAAGTCCAGAAAATCTCCATTGTTATGAAAAGGAATTTGATGTTGACAATCTCTCCACTCGCAATCCAAATTCACCAGCACTTCCTGTGTCTTTTGTTGACTAGATCCTTTCTTTCTTGGCATAATTTACAATTAGAAACACTAGGTTTACGAAAATGATAAAATAAAGCTCCTAAATGCAAAAATATGTACAAAAACTATCGGTAAAAGGAGAGCAACAACGTTTATAAAGTTTATCCGATTCCCGCCATTTTGTTTTCTTTTGCCGCGCTGAGCCTGCGGTCCTAGTTAGCGGTTATGCGTTTTAGCTTAGGAACCAAGTCATTACATACCTCTCCAGTTTTCCTACACTTTCTCTTTATTTTTTGCTTTCTTTTCTTCCTATTTTCCTTTTTTTAAAGATTCATGGATATAGGCTTGGAATGTTATATCTCAGAACACAGTGGATTCTGTGGACAGTTAAAGAGATTGTATCCTTTACATGCTACTTTGCATGCTACTTTGCATGCTACTCATAACCTTTTTGATCTCAAATACTAGCTACTATTTTAGTTTTTCTAAACTTGAAAATACTTCAATAGCTGTGAGGACTTCAAGGTAACAGAGATTGATGAATTAGGCTGTCTAGTTGAGCTAACAAGCCAAGATATACAACCAGATGTAGCCAAAGATATGGAAAAATGTTACAGAAAAGTGATAACAGTCTCTGCTAAAAATGATGATAACATGCAACCATCAAATAGTTTATTTAGCTCTGGGAGTTGCAATGCAGAAAATTCAGCCAGCGGTGAAAAGGATAGTTCTTTGCAGCCTACCAACAAGTATTTTTATCAGGTAGCTGAGTACTACAAACTTGAAAAGTCTGCCAGCTTAGCTGGGATACATACAGCACACATTTTAGAGTGAAGCAATCACAAACCTGCAATCCATTCCAGTCACATCCAAGTAACATCCAATTTGTATAGGAAATTACACCATCTTGGGTACAATTCAGAATTTATAGATACRAGTGATATGTTTTGATTTTTTTTTAGTTGGACAAATTTGACAACTTTCAAAACATCACAAGTATCTATAAATTCCAAATTGTACGAGAAGATTGCGTGATTTTTTGTTTATAATACACTCAACAAAACTGAGCAACTTAATTGGGACTCTACAGAGTACAATTTGAAATCTAATTGTACTCCTCTTGTCCAATCAGAAT